TTTTTTTTTGTAATTAGTTAAACTTCATGGGTAGTATCAAATCAACTCAAAAAAGTATTGAGAGAATCACGCACCATCTCTAAGGTGTGCTTGCTGCTCCATAGCCTGCAACTTAAGCTTAAGTTCCTTGTTCTCGGATGTCAAGCCATTAGTATCCCTCTGAAAAAATATGACATGTTACAAATTCTGTAGCGATCACTTTTTTTGAAAGTAGTAATTTGCAATTTGTACAATTCATGACTGTTGACAGCAAAAAAGAAAACAACTTCGGTATTCGACTAAGACTAATTCAATTGTCTAAAACTGAGTCCCTAGCTTCCATAATACATAAGTTGATTGTGAAATCGAGACAATTTCTCATGCATGTTAACAGGTCCAGCTAAACAAAAGTTCCCTGCCCATGTGTGCTATGAGATCGTATTCATAAGAATTAGTTGAAGCCCCTGTTTTGCATTTTTTGTCCCATTACTTGGCATTTGAAGCTTCAACACTTCACCAATCTAAAATGCAAAGGAAGAAGAAGCTACTATTCCCGTGGAAAAATCACACACTACGAAGCCCTCAAACAAAATCTCACAGTCCCTGTTCGATCATAATATGCTACATGTTTTTGGCACTCAACTCTCCTGGTCAACTCAGTACCATAAAAGAAAAGCAGAAACTAAAGGCAACAGTTTCACATCATACATTCTCAATATCATCTACAAAGCCCGGTGCCCGAATCGATTTTCAAGTGAAATTGTTTAAACCGCTGAGCTACACCTCTCTAAAACATAAACCGTCATGCAAGTATATAAAATGCGAGTAATGAGTGTACCTGCAACACTGTAATTTGAGCCGAGAGTGTGGTTGCTTCGTTCTGCAGAGTCTGAACTTTCCGCTCGAGCTCGCTCGTGTATCGTGTTTTTCTCTCTTTCGAGCGTGCAGCCGATTGTCTGTTTGCGAGTATCCTACAAAGAAAGTAAACACGTATAAAGTGCAACACTAATAAAAAGTTAAGTAAAACTACAACTAATCAGCAAACACACAAATATATACACTGATTTTGGATATACGACTTCGTAGTTCCTCTGTGAACATGACGCGTTTTATCATTATAAATATTGGAATTAGAACATGCAATGATGACCTGAAAACCGTTTGGGACAATTCTTGCATAATCTTGATCCAAGTACATTTGAAGTAGAGGTTACAATAGCCGACACGAAACAAGTAAATGACACGATTGACACAATACCGCACAACACGAAGAAAAAAAAAAAGTTAGATTACTAGGATCAGATTAAACAGATAACACTAAAACACGATTGTGAAACACTAAAACGAACACGACACGATACCACGGTTTGCCACCCCTAACTTTAAGACAAGCCACCACAGGAACCTACAGATATGTTGCATATAAACATTTCTTCAACTAATTAACTCCTCTCTATACTCTGGTGGAGTAGGTCAATTGCAGGATCAAATAATTACAGCAAAAAAACTTAGTACACATACTGCAAGCTAAAATAATTCAAAGCACTGATAAAGGTCAGACCTTTTGGCTCTCTTGGGGTCAATCAGAGCAAGCTCCGCAAGTCTATCAGCCGCCATAGCCTTCTTCGCACTGGACTCCGCCTCGTACGAATTACCGCTGGAGTTCTCATCCATGGAGCTGCTCCGCTTGTGCCTCGGTCCAGAAGACGCCGCCGCTGCCACCGCAACCGGCGGCGGGCCGCCGTCCAACCCAAGCCCGTCGAAGAAATCCGCATCCACCGACAGGCTCCTCAAATGGGCCGCCACGGGCCTTACCTCTGCAGCCTTGCCGGGCTGGGACGGCGGCGGAGTCGGAGGCGGCGGCCCACCGGCGAGGAGGCTAGGGGCGGCCTCGGAGAAGTCGAGGTTCAAGTCGGCCAGGACTCCGTCGAGGAGCATGTCTTCAAGGTCGGGAAAGCGGAAGAAGGTCTCGGACTGGGCCCGGCGGTGGTGGGCCCGCCGGGTCGGCGTGTCGGGCATCTGGTCCAAATCCGCCCTTCCCAGAACGTACGGGCCCGTCGGTGCAGGCTTTCCGGCGAATTTTGGGTCCATTTATCTCATCAATTGAGGAGAAAAATGGTGATACTGGTAAAAAAAAAATGAGTAGGAACAGTTGGTGGTGCTTTTTATTGTTTGATTGATTGAAAAGACGAGTTGAAAAAAGATTTGGGGGTGGAATCATAATTTTTGCTAAGTTGGAGGACCTTTAAGGGCCCACTTCTCACCGGTTCGCAGGGTGGACGTGGCGGCTGGCAACTCGATGGAGGAAAAATTGGGCAGCTCTTGTCCTGAGATATTTTTCTTAAAATATTTCTAGCGTTTTTTTTTTTAGCCAGCTACATATTCGAAATTATGTCTCGACTAATTCGTTGGTGGATTCGGATTGCACACTTAGCAGTGGTGGATGAATCAAGCGACATCAAGCTGCTTACCACTTGAGTCAAAATGTAACGTGTTGTTGAACAACTTCAACAATATAAGATAAAAATAATATATATAGTTTTTTTTTTTAAATAACTTACATTTTTGGTTCATCAATTGACGCGAGGATCCACAAACTCGTTCGATCATCGAGCCCGGCTTTGAACATTGGATCACATTGATCCCTCGAACAATATGAAGTTTCTGTCTATGTTTTTTTTTTTAAAAAACTTACAAATATGCATATTCATAATAAAATATTATATTTTAAAAATAAAAATAAAAGAACATAATATTTAATAACATAAATGTATATTTTTATTTAACAATTATATAAAGGGTCGACTTTGTGCGGCTTTATAACAATAATTTGTTAACACAAAAATTCTATAGAGCAATCGGATTGTTTTTTTATGGAGCCATCCATTGGTTAATTTATTGTCACCTGTTCAAATTGTATTTATTGTAAAATACGTGTCAATACACTATTGGTGAATAAGTGTGAATTGTTCCATAACCCGAGCCATCCGATTGCAAAACGGTTAACAATATTTGTGTTAATTAAATTGTGTGTGTTTCATATAAGAGCACGTTGTACCGACAGTACCGTCCAACTTTCTTGTGATTTTCCCCTCTTGATTTTTTTAGTGGTGCATTAGTAAGTAGATTAACTATCACTATATGATTAGATAAAGCAATGTGATTCATTAAGTGGGGGGTAATATAGACCTCAAAATTCAAAGATTTACGGCATATTTTAGCCCACCATATTTTGTTTTAGCCATTGATTATCTGCAATAATTAACTTTTATATATATCCAAAGGCTAAAAAATTCTCACGGAATAATTTCGTCCCGTGAGAGGATTGTAGTCTTCTCCTGTAATTTGAGTTATTTTTAGTTATTGTTAGTTTGTTTGCTTAGTAACAATTTATTATATGCACCGTTTAATACAAATTCTTGTGTTAAACAACCTTACGTTAGATTTGACTAACATCAACATTTAAATAAATCCCAAAAATAATTTTTTTTCATACATTATCCAGCAACCAGCATAATGCCTGCATGCCAATAGAACCATCTTCAGGGCTGAAGAGCTAAAATCAGGCAGAGTAGTAGAAATTTATTACAGAAATCATACTATTTTATTACAGAAATTTATAATTATACTATTTTAATTTAATACAGGAAAAAGTAACAAAAAAAAAGTGAAGTTTGCAGATTGAGAACTGAAACTCATGCAAAGAAATTTACACAAGCTGCTGATTTATTTCTGCTCTTCAGCACCACCATACAATGCTTTGATCTCCTCGACATCGTCATAGCTACCGAGGAATATCGGTGAACGCTCGTGTATCTTTGTAGGAACCAAATCAAGTGCCTGCAAAAAAAAAAAAA